GTAATTTATTCTGTTTTCGATGGATGATAGGATAAAACTCTTCAGTGCTAGCCTTGTAGCCTTGAGGTATTCTAATAAATAAATATTGATGGTTTTTACTACACCATTACTTAACCATACTGGTAGGTTTTCTTCAGCACAGGAAATTAAGTTCCTAGAGCAACAGCAAAAACAGCTGTATTACCATTTGCCACTTTGCGCTCGGCTGTCAGCCATCGCTTTCAACTGGTTCCACGACTGCCCACAGATTACCAGCTCCTGCACATACGATATTCTATATGTCACCCTCGTCCGCCAACCTCATCTGTTTCTATTAGAGTCCCACTTGACGGCATGGCTTCTGATGTTACTTGACGGCCTCCCCAATGTATATCCTATCCATCTTCACTTCCCTTAGCATATTTGCTGGTTAGTAGGTTCTTGGTTGGTCCGTTCCCGGAGTTCCTTGTTCCTTACCGTATAAGGTCGTCTGATCTTCATTGCTGAACTACGGTGGGTGTTGATGAAAGTCTGTTTCAGGCTGTTGGAAATGCTTTCGGTGACGCACCAAGTCTCTGAGTCACATAGAAGTAGTAACTTAAAAGACATATGTGTAGTGTTTCAGAAATTGTAACTGTTCTAAATAGTTGGCTGCAGATGTTTCATAAAATGCTAAGCGTCTTCTTCAGTCATATCTTTCTCATTGTTTGTCTTCTGATAAGATATGAAGTAAGTGTATTAGAATTTTCCATGTAATTTCGGTTAAAAGTTGTAAAAAAACTTAAATTATAGGAAGTATGAGATAAATAAATTGGCGAACCCTTGCAGTACATTCAGCGCACCTTCATAAACTCTCGCCTGTTGTTCTCCAAGCTTAAGATCATTATATAAAAGCCCATAGAGAGTTATTATTATTTCCTCTAATTCCTAGAGGAACATAGGGCTTCAGCTACGCGTCTCCATTGCGTTCGGTTCTCTGCCAACGTTTTCACCCCACTCCAAGTCTGCCCACATGCTTTCTTCTCCTCTTTACATGGCCTCCTCCAAGTCACCCTTGCTCTGACGACCAACTCGCCGCTTCCCTTTCGGGTTCCACTCGAGTGATGTCACTTGATGGTTTGTTTTCTCAGAGTATGGCCAATCCACCTACATTTCTTTCTGCCTATTTGTTTCACAATCGGTTCCTGATTGGTTCGCTCCCAGAGAACCCTGTTGATCTTTTCTGGCTGGCTATCTGATCTTGAGTATTGAGCGAAGACAACTGTTGATGAAGATCTGTAGTTTGTTTGAGGTGCTCCTTATGACGCGCTGGCCAAGTCTCTGATCCGTATAGTAGCACTGACTTCACATTGGAGTTGACAATCTGGATCTTACTTTTGATGCTGAGTGCTGTCGACCCCCACACAGACTTGAGAGTAATGAAGGCTTGTCTTACTTTCCCGATCCTTCCTTTGATATTCTCGTCAGTTCCGCCTGTACCTGAAACGATGATTCCCAAGTAGGTAGGTGAAGGAGGTTGTTTCTTTCAGGTTCCTCCCATTTATGCTGGCTGATTGTTGTCTGTTGTTGTTGGCCTGGAATCTTCATCACTTCTGTCTTGTCTGTATTCACCTGAAGTCCTATCTTCTCTGGATGCTTCTTCTGCCAACTTGTAGCTTTTCACTTGCATATCTTCCAGTTTGTAAGAAATCAGACATATATCATCGGCGAAATCCAGACCCTCCAAGTCTTTTGTGTGAGTTCATTTTATGCCTGTCTCCTCGTTGCCTGCCGCTGTCTGTCGCATTATCCAATCTACTGCAATCAGAAAAATCATTGGCGGCCTTGTCTTACTCCCGTTCTCACTTCAAAGGATTCCATGAGTTTCCTATTGTGGATTACTTGGCATGCAGCGTTGTCGTACAACTGTTAGATAAAATGTATAATTGTCGGCAGCACCCCTCGCATAAAGAATTAGTTATGATAATTTCCCTCAATTCAGTAGTCACTGATTCAGTCTTGTTTAATTGTCAAGAGTTCACATGAGTCTTAAAGTGTAAATCTAATTTCAGGTCATTCCAGGTGCTAAAAAACGTCGCAATTAGCTGAAACATTTTCTGACTATATAAAATCATTTATTCTAGTGATTTTTAGTTATCGAACTTTATGCACTAAAACATTACTAATTATTGACATTATTGTCCTACAAAATTCCCATCTGATCAATATTGCTTGTATTTGAAAGGCTTCATTCAGTAGTAACAAGAGTTCTTCGTATACAGTCGCTATGCTAAACATTCTACTTTAATTTTTAAGTGTGTTGGTTTTGCAGGAATTTGATTGGTTTCAAGTTTCATCACAAATTGAAATCGGTTAGCCAGTCAAACAATGCATTGTCTTCACTGATTTCTGGAAATGTCAGTGAAATAAACTGAAGTGTGTGACGAAATGTGTTTTTTAAGTTCACTTCACTCTAAGAAATTTCATTACCTTGAAGTCAGTTATTAGCAGGAGTCTGTCTGTCTGTTTTCGACATAGAACTTTGCACATATGTGCGGCAGTTCAAGTCACCAGACTCCCTCCTTTAGCACACAAAGGAAGAGAAGAAAGTACAAGAAATGCATATTAGAGACAGTAAACAGAGATGTGAGACAAAGGAATAGTAATAACGAAGAACAATATAGTTTCATTGGAAATCATAAGTCACAAGGAGTGGATGCATCTGCGCCACATATTGAGAACGATTTTGAGCCATATCACCGATTGTCTCCAGCCTTCATTGGTTTTTACCGTCCCGAGGACCCCAACCAGGAAGTCCACACCTTCCTACGTGGCTTAGACTAACTGTTGTGGATTTCATTGACTGGTGCCGCCATGTTTTGGTTTGACCGCCGCTAGCTATTTTCCAGCCTGACCCTATGTCAGCTAACATTGCCTATTGTCGAGGAAGGCGATGACTAGGCATACGTAACACATGTCCTTACCATCTAAGTCAATGTAGCTTCACAGCCTCGTCGATTGATTTCCCCTGTTTACCTAGAACTCGACGCCTAACCTAAATGTTGCTCACCTTATTATGCCACTTTACACGGGAAATAGAACGCTGACACATTTGATCAAAGACAGCTAGTCTTTTCATGTCTTCCACTTTCAATAGCCATGTCTCACAGCCATAAAGGAAGACGGAGCGAAGTGACTACTGAGCAGTACACACGTCCTTTGGTCGATAGCCAGATATCACGTCTAGGCTAGAGACTGCATAAACTGGCACATGTGAAACTAGCCTTCTGTATCCGTGATGAGATTTCGTCAGAGATCAACCCGTTGGCGTTGGCTGATGGTACTTCCCAAACAAGTGAAGCGGTCAACGTGCTCTACCACTTCACTTCCTATTTTTAAACTAGGCGTCGATGTAGTCCAGTCCTGTAACATCATCTTGCATTTGGCGGAAGCGAATCGCATGCCAAACTTTCGTAGATTGCAGCTCAAGGTGTTTAGAAGACTCTGCATTTTGTCAGAGTCCTCACCTAGAAGGACTATATCGTCTGCATATTCCAAGTCAACGAGATTATTCCCTGGTAGCAAGTCAATGCCTGTGTCTCTGAAGTGAGTTAGGGTTAAGTCCATCAGTACATCTAAGATAAAAATGAATAGAAACGGGGATAATGGGCATCCCTGACGAACACCACTAGTCGTCACCACTTCAGATGACAACTCGCCATAAGCCCTCACCTGGTTGCTTGAGTTCGAGAAGAGTGTCTTAATCAGTGCAATGTATCTTCTCAGCATTCCCTTTACGGCCAAGCATCGCCAGAGTACCTCTCGCTCGACAGAATCGAATTTCGCCTTTAGGTCAAGAAATATAATGATTGTTGGACGCCGGTAGGAATTCCTATGTTCTAGAATCTGTCGAAGGGTGAAGATATGATCAATACACCCTCTTCCGTTAGCAGGAGTCAGTAGCCAGTATCCTCTAACATTCATCATACTAATCGCTTATACTTGAAAAATGGTACATTTTGAAACGTGCCAAAATACGTGAAATGTTGCCTAAAACAAGTTCTAGACTAGTATTCCATATTTTCAGGTAGTTGAAGGTGAATAGAAGAAAATTTTTTAACCTATGTTTCGTGTGTTTTTGGTACACGAATCACATATCAGTCAGTTTCTGACTGTAGGGTTGGATAATACCACTGCAATTTAGGCTGCAAATCGGTCCCACTTATAAGCACCAATAGGCATAAAATTTTGGCTAAGGAATTTGTGTCTAATTTAAGAAAATATCAGTTTTTCTGCTTGCTATCTCAAAGATGAAACTTGGTCACGATCTGGAATAAAACAACATAGAAATATATTGGCCGTTGCTCTAGGAACTTGATTCTTCGTCCCCGAGAAAATTTCCCACTATGGCTAAGTAAAGGCGTAGTTAAATCCTGTAACCAAATCCACTAACAGTTCGATATTGGACCATCTGATGCAAACAGGCCACAAAGCTAGCGTGGAAGAATCCTTCTCTATCATCTACCGGGTGCCTAATAAATTACCAAAAGCACCGGAGCGCCTCATGCTCCAAATAGCAGAGGCTATTGCAATTCGCCTCAAACAACCAGTGCTCTGTGTGCAAAAGAAGCAAGTCCAGCCCCTACTACTGTACTGCCCTGGTCGGCCTTCAGCAGAAACTGTAAATTCATGAATTTGTATTAATATGTTTCCTAATTTTTTCTGACATCCAGCTTATTTTATTTTGATGCTATTGAGCTGTTATCTATTGATATTACTGATTCGATGTTATTTAAACAACATTAACGTTGTTCATAACACTAATTCATTCATTCACTATAATGTATACCTAACTGTAGAGCCTGATGATGAAGTTATCGAAAAGAGTATTCTTTGTTCACTATCCATTCTTTTGAAAATGTTAATGGACATTTTTAATCAGTTAAAATAGAAATATTTAGTGTGAAGTGACCGATTAGATCAATTAACAATTTTTTTAAAACATGAGTAAATAATTGTTTCCAGAATGCATTTAAAATTACTTTGAATCAGCCAACATTTGTTGTTTTTGATGCGTAAAATGATAACGTTGAGCAGATGTAGCCAGAACACGATCGCCAGGTAGACAGCCACTTCCATTACCAATAGGCTTTTCAAAATCCTCTGACTCTGAATCAGTTTGTGTTGACCTTTATTATTTAAACAAAACAACAACAAAAAACAACCAAATAACTTTCAAATAAACTTTGTAGGCTGGATTTTCTATTTAAAGCATTCATATCAAATGAATACTACATCTTGATTTATTAGTTATCTTGCACAAGTGCTCGTCTCAGTCGCATCACGGAATATTTTACACGATGATATATTAACCACCCCTTATTCAGGGACAAGCTCTGTAGGTTAAAGGACGCTGTCGTTTGACCCAATTCTATAGTTTACAAAATACCCTGCAATGACTATGAGTTAAGTCAAGTATATAGGTCAAACTAGTAGATCGAGCGAGGGTAGTCAGATTGTCTGAACATAAGAATTTAGCTTAGGTTAGAATGATTGACCCTGTGAAGATAAGTAATTTAGAAAACAAACTCAGCAATTGCACTGCATGCATTAAGACACAACCACACAATAGTGTGAGACAGAGTTAAAATTCTAAAAAGTAATACAGGTAGGTGGAGAGAGAGGTTAATTACTGAATCTTTGTTCATCGAATCTACACCCTACACATGTAACAGAACTGACTTATCACCAATACCAGAGATATGGGAAATACTACTACCAATCAAACCAAGAGATGAAAAATAATGGAATTAATAAACAAAGATAGAAAGTTGTGTGAGTAGTGACTTGATATGACTAAGAGCAGGAATAAATTGTGCTCGAAAGATGGTCATCAGTAAATATTACTGCATAAATTGAATATTCCCATAATTTATTCAGGACAAAATATTTAGAGCGAACACTTGTTTTCAATAAATTCTTCTTCAGGCTCTACAATTATAAATACATTAATTTAAGCATACAATATCCAATAAAGGCAAATTAGAATCATATCAGAAAGTGTATTGTGGAACAAGTATAAGATGAGATGGAACAATAGACAGATAGTTTTTTTAATATGAATGGTCAATGAGAACATGGGACAAAATGAGATGAAGTAATTTAATTTAATGATATATATATATATCTGTTCAACGACTTCATTTTCAAGCTATACAGTCGTATTTATATTACAGCTTGAAAATGAAGTCGTTGAGAAGAAATTTCTTCGCTGAACAAAAACTGTGTTTTACTTATGAATAAATGGATATTTTTTGTGATTTAAAAGTTAGAAAAGCACTATTTAAACCTAAGGTAATAAAATCACAAGAAAGGTCATGAAATCATAAAAGTCGAAAATGAACGTTTGTCAATGAAACAGAGGAATAGAAGAAGAAGAAGAAAAGAAAAGAAAATTGTGAAAGGAATTTATAGTGTTAATGGAGGATTTGTTGGCTTTATTGTAGGCCAAGGTAAACATAGAGGTTGAACATACTTCTTCTGTATGCAAAGAGAGGGTCTTCTGGTATTAATTGGAACCGCTTCAGCTACTGATAGAAGACGTAGTCGAGCTCGTCTAGATAAATTACTAGGAACGCGGTAAATAACTGAGAACGCTTGGTCAAGTTTTATCGGGTTTCCAGTACCTACCAAGTCGGCTAAGACTGCACTATTTATGCATTTGGTTACTCCTTTACTCAATCATACTGGTACATGTCCACGCGCGCGCCTGGATAAAGCCCTCTGAGTACGGCCAATGTAACTAGCTCCACATGAGCAGTTGAATTCATAGATGCACATTGATGAGGCCATCTTTGTTAATTTATCCTTGACTTGCTGTGTGAGTACTGGTTTAGTTGAGAAGTTTAGTACCAGTTTAGCTGCAGGAAATGTTCTATCTACTGCTCTATTAAATCGACATTTTAGAATGTCAGCTGCAATTTCCCCTTTGTAACTTAACTTAAGATACAAAGGTTTCTTGTCTACGGTATCCACCTTTACTCTGTCTGTAGGTACTGACATATACTTTTTTAGGAAGCTCTGTGGATATCCATTTTCTTGCAGTGTGAGTTTTAGTTTATGCATTTCTTCCTTAATGCATTTCTCTGAGCATATGCGTTTTATTCTATGGCTAAGACACTTAACCAAGTTTTCTTTTCACTGTCGGTGTGAAGCTATGGAAATGGGTGTACTGACCCGTCCAAGTTTTCTTTCTAAATAATTTTTTTGTAGATATCCGTCTGTCTTCATGGTAGGGAGGACGTCTAGGAAAGGTAAAATGTTATTGTCTTCTTCTTCTTCACATGTAAACTGAATAGTTGGGTGAACACTATTAACAGCATTCAGAAGCTCTTGTTTATTAAGATTTCTATCACAAACGACAAAGGTATCATCTACGTATCGACAATAATAGTCAAGCCCTTTAATCGTGTCTTTGAGTGGACCATTTTCAAGCTTTGCCAGGAAAATATCCGCTAGCATAGGGCCCAGAGGTGATCCCATGGCTACACCATCAACTTGTCTATAAAAACCATTATTGAACATAAACTGAACATTCATAGTGCATTTCAGTAATAATTCTTTGACTTTTTCGGATGGGATTCCTACATCTATCTTTCTTTCTATCAGCTGGTCACATATGCAGTTGACTATTTCAAGAATTTGGATGTTGGTGAATAATGATGCTACATGCAGTGACATCATTTTCTTTCCCTTTACATTCAGGCTTTTGGTAGTCTCCACAAAGCTGAATACGTCTTTTACACCGAATTTCACTAATTCGTGATGTAACGGTTCTAGTGCCTTTACCAACCACTTTGCTGTAGAATGATAAGGGGATTGACACATATCTAAGATGGGATGTATAACACTGTGAGACTTGATCAAAATAAAATTTTATCCATAATGGAATTATACTCTACCACAACGACTAAGTTCTACTCTTATAAGTTATGAAAATGTTTCGAAATAAATATGTAGAATAAACACGTAAAATAGTGAATGGTTGTTTAAGGGAAAACATTATTGGACCACAGTTAAAACGTACAGTTATCTGACTACTCACAAGTTAAAGGAGTCATTATAATACCCACTACGCGCGTGATTTCATAAAGACTCCAGAAAATGCCAACATGAGTCAAAAGATAAAAATATATTCATACTACTTACGGCTTAACTGCTGATTTACATCAACCAGTACCATCTAAATAATTCTACTTGGTGAAACGAAAGTGTTAGGGCATACGGGTGTGGTCGGTATTACTGACAAGATTTTGTAAGTAGTATAGTGGGTGTAATGCCTTCGCTGTTTTTCGCTGTTACACAGGTAGTGAACTGGTTTCAAGTTTTCAGAGCACTTCAATTTATTCAGAGAAATATGAAAATCCCTTAGAGTAGCAGCTAATTGCTTTTGGTGTTGAAGACTCTTTTTTGTCTTATATTCAGCTCACTTCAAAGAGTAACACTTTTGCTTGATGACTGGATTTTACTGTAGAATGAAGACATCGCATAACAATGCATGAATGGAACAAGAAAAGTTATGAAATGCCGTCTGTATAATCTTAAGAGGCTTTAAACTGAGATTTCAGTCTAGACGTCCAGTAAAATCTTACTGGTTTGACAGTATGCCCCACAAGAATCCTCTCTCTAACTATAATCTTCTGTTATTTTTGTATTTTGCCTTACATTTCTTCAAACTATTTCCCTCAATTTATTTCTTTTTATCTGTTTTCGTCTCTATTTGTAGACACCAACTTGAGATCAGCCTTTACCGTTATGGTTAGGATTACTAGAGAATTATCTAGAAAAAATGGTTATCCAGATAAATTCATTGAGAAAAATATGAATTCAGCACCTGGGAGAGTCATTATGGCAACAGTTCCGAAAAAACCGGTGTTCATAAAACTGCAGTTCCTCGGTGACAAGATCAGCGAAATAATAATAATACAGCGCCTGAAGAATGCAGTTTAAAGGAGCTTACTATGCAGCAGAGGTACGTTGTCTCTTCACAACCACCCCTGTTCTACGTTCGAGAAATAAGAATAAACTACCTAAATTTGCCTCTTCTATGTGTATCTACCAGTTTGACTGCAGCTGCGGAGCCAGCTACATTGGGCGTACAATTAGGCAGGTTCATCATCGTGTTTCCGAACATCATCCAACATGGCTAAGCAAGGGACAAACAAGATCTACTCGTAACTCTATTTTAGCGCACCCTGTAGATAGTGAGCATAAGGTTGACGTTATGACTTAATTATGATTTAATACTTCATTTGAAGTTATTTATCGCATTCCTACTAATCCTTATTTTGATCTACGAGTTCTTCTTCTACATACAGCTGAAGCAATAGGAATCCAGTTGAAGAAGACAAACCTGTGTGTTCAGAAGAAATTCGTACAGCTACTTTCCTTACCTTGGCCATCGTTACATGAATCTATAATCGGGACTACTTCGCCCCCCTCCCCCTAAACAATTAAAATTATAAAAATTATAATTGTCCAAATTATTTTATTTTTTCTGACCACTTCATCTTTAATTAGGTGTTATCCTTGTAAAATATGTAAATATGTACACATAGCGTCGTTGCTTTAAAAACATAGAGATTACCATTTGACCTCCATCCCACACACCCCAGCAGAGACCATTCACACAAAAGTTAGTTATCACGATGAGAATTAGTTAACACATTATCTCTAAGATTACATTTTTAATTGGTAATACAGAATACACGTTAAAGAAACTCACCTAAGATTACACACTAGAACGAGTAGACAGCATATAATTATAATAAGAATAGCGATTGAAAGACCAAATCCTGTTTTACGGCGTAACACGCAGTTCGACCAAGTATACATGAAAATAAGTCGAAAAACATGAAATATATATATGTGTTGGTGAAACGAATCTGTGTAAAATTATACACCGAGAAAAAAAATGACTATAAACTTGGTCGTTTCTTAGGTGAAAATTCAAACTTACTATTCTAGTAGAAATTGGATGCTTACGTCTAAAGAAATTTGAAAATATCTTACCTGGTAAAATATTTAGAAATGCTACTATTTGATGATGTTAGTTACAACAGATGACAAACTGGCCTATGGTTTCTTTCAGTAAGTAGTCTGTGACTATTATCTGGAACACTGATCAGTCTGAGCTTTGATTTAAAGAGGATTCAAAGGCTGATGAAAATAATGACAATGAAATCTCATATTTGACTGTTTAATGTTATTATTATTATTATTGAATTCTGATGGCTAACATCAGGCTAGCAACCCATCCTGTAAAAATAAAAACACTGCTACAGAAACTTCGAACCTCTAGCTTGAAGCCCTATGTTCCACTGGAAACGTGAAGGAAAAAAATCATATAGTACCAATAAGTCTACTGGTGCATCTGCGGGCTCATTGGTACAATTTTCTTCAGCGACGCCAGTAGGTGAGGGTTCGATACCTGATCCACGCACTGCTAAACCTCATTTGGTTCACTAACCGATAGTAAGCCCGTAATAAAGGGGAAGTTGAGCATGTGGCTAGTAACTCCCCCCCCACCCCCGATAAATTTACTAGCATTGCTGCTAAAGCTTCATAGCTTAGGGACCTGAGCTTCTCTCTGAAAGCAGTTTTACAGATGCTAACGGTGAGATGTAGTTACATCCGAGTGGTGGGGACTTGAAAATGCTAGGCTAGCATAGGAGCAAGTGTTACCTTCTTCTACTAACCATCCTAACATTTGTACAAGTCTTGGTATTATCAATACCGAATTTGTTGTCTACTTAATAGTTTGTAATTAAATGTTATCGTTCAATGTTTAAAATATCCGAGTAAATAATAGTTCGTTTTTTGAGCAAATTATTTACTCACTTCTCTTTCAACACCGGAATCGATAAATGCATTTTGAAGAATCAATACCTGGTACTGCTTCTGTGGCAATTTTTTTACGAACTTGATTAATGCATGTCGAAAAATTTAGTTGCTTAAGATATTACGTAGAGATGTACACACTCTCTCTCACACACACACACACCAAATAACTTTTGTACACATAGATTACATGCTTACTATAAGAGAAAATTAAGGTTGAAACGATTTCGAAACATTTCAGAGCATTTTAGTAAAATCTGAATTAAAAAATGACACTATCAGATTTTACATAACTGTTATGTACTGGTTGAGAATTTAATAGTCCTGACGCAAGAAAGACGGAAATCAGAAGACCACTAGGTTTGCGATGATACTTCTATTTTCCAAACACAAGGAGAATCCATATGTCACACAAGTGTGTGAGAGCAAAATATATGAATGTCCGAACGAGTGTGTGAACACAAGTGTGTGAGCGAATATTCAAAATGAACAAATCAATAGACAGTCTTAACATGATTGTTAATTATAATGGAATATCGATCCATATATACATAGCAAAATATATCAGACTGTCAAACAAACACACATATTATATGGATACATATCAGCTCTCCAGAACACAACCCTGTAGCTTAGTTAAATGGCATTTGGAAAACATGGTTGACATCTGCGGTTTGAAAATTGTGTTCAGAACTTCACATTAATTTTTTTCTCTATTGGATAGATCACACAGCGAACCACTGTTATTTAATGGATGATATATCGAACACAATTTATTGTTCGTAATCACATCAATTATAACTATACAACTTTGAAACTTCAGTTTTACTTGTTGTGTCTACGAAAAATTATCCAGTAGATTGTAACTCACTGACTGTTTTTTCTTGAAAATGCCTCCTGAACGATGAAAATACAACATTAATACTTGTTTGGATATTTTAACTAACTTTGTAATTATTTTCCTCTTTTATTCTAGGTTGTATATAATTGTTTTGATGTCTGCATATCATCTGGTGGCTAGGAGTTGAAAATCCGGATTATGTTTTTCATGCTGATTGCTGTTGATCTCTACACAGATTTGAGAGTAGTGAAAGCTTGCCTTGCTTTAACGATCCTCGCTTTCATATCCTCGTCAGTTCCGCCTGTAGTTGAAACGATGCTTCTCAGGTAGGTAAAAGAGGTTGTTTCTTTCAGGTTCCTCCCATTTATGCTGTGCGTCGGTGGCACAGTGGTTAGGACTCTCGCCAACCATGCACGTAGTCTGGGGTTCGAGCCCACGCCGACGCACACCTGATATCTATGGTCGGCCTGCGAAATTTGGGCTACCGATATCCATGCTGGAAATTCCATACTTGTACCAAAAATACGGTGTGGAATCAAGCGTTAATCAAAAATAAAAATAAAATGATTGTAGTCTGTTGGTGTTGTTGCTGTTCCCGTTGGCCAGGTATCTTCGTCACCTCTGTTTTCTCTGTGTTCACCTGAAGTCCTATATTCTCTGGATCCTTCTTCTGCCAACTTGTTACTTTTCAACTTCGTATCTTCCAGTTTGTGGGAAATCAGACATATATCATCGGCGAAGTCCAGACCCTCCAAGTTTTTGTGTGAGACCATTTTATGCCTGTTTCCTCATTGCCCGTCGTCTGTCGCATTATCCAATCTATTGCAATCAGGAAAATCATTGGCGATAGTAGGCAGTCTTGTCTTACTCCCGTCTTTACTTCGAAGGATTCCATGAGTTTTCCGTTGTGGATTACTTGGCATGCAGCCTTGTCGTATAACTGTTGGATGAGATGTATAATTGTCGGTGGCATCCCTTAGTAGCGAATTACTTTCCAAATCACCTCTCGATCAACGCTGTCGAAGGCCTTTTCAAATTCTATGAAGTTGAGATAGAGAGGTGACTGCCATTCCAAGCTTTGTTCAGTGATGATCCGTAGTGTGGCGATTTGATCAATACATGACTTGTTTCTCCTGAATCCAGCTTGTTCCTGTCGAAGTTGTCTCTTTATTATACTACTGACAAGTCTTATCAGTAGTACACACCAGAATACCGTTTAACTGAGCGATATATCCAATAAATAAACTAATGTGGAATTACATGCTACTCGAGATTTTACACATACATTAAGAACTACACCTGATATGTTGGTACACGAAATGCGATTCAAGGAAGTGTTTCGATCATTACATTTCGACCATATTAGATGCTGACTAATAAATGCCTGGTGCGGAAATCATGAAAACCACTTTGATTCTTAAAATATTGCGTAGATACAAAATATTTATTAATTTTTTGCTTGATATAAGTTTAACTTTAAAAAAGATAAATCGGCCAACAGTAATTTTGGTTCTTGTAGAACAGAAAGTAATGCATTAACATCATTGGTCTTATTAATTTTGAAAGAATAAAATTGAATATTGAATTTTTATTGACCGATCAACTTGAACCTCTTATTATTTCAACAACAAAATCAATTATTGATTAACAATTCAGTCAATGAGTACAATTTTAGACTAATGATTATTTTTCGAACTAAATGATTAGTGGGTTTTTTTTCTTACTACTTGCTGTGCCCTTGATTTATACAACTTGAAAAGCATTAGGTAATAGTCAATTTCCTACACAACTAGTAAATTATCTGTGCAACCTTAACAGAACGATAATCACTTTCTCATACAATCGATCATTGCCTAGTATATTTACACAGTGTGAAACACTTCATACATGATTATTATTCATCTATTTCTCTTTCAGAATATCAAATGATTAGCCTAATGCATTCAGTCTAAATAAGTTATGTTCACTTTAGTAGTCTAGACAGATTTTATGCTATAACTATTATGAACTGAGGAGGCCTGAAGAGCTATTATGTCCTAATTCATAGAGCAGTAGATTACATCCCATCGGGTGGATGGTTAAGCGTCCACCTAATACTTCTAAGGTCTTGCGATAGATCCCTGATTGTGTAGATGAATTCTCAACGTATAAAGGAATCTATAACTAGGATGAAGCAGCTGTACATTGTCTCTTGATTCTCAGTAATTTTTCAAATGATATTTGGCTGCGATTCAGTCTTTCTAGAAATCAGCAGGTCGAGTGTGAGGACAAATACTCGCCGAAGATATTCGCTAGGGGTCGCGCTATGTCATAAATTGGCAGAAATTAGAATTAATGGACTAGCCATTGGATTGGGTCCCAGTGGCCTAATAGTATACGAGCTAGCTCACCTTGTAACCAGAAGGTCCTAGGTTCGAACCCTGATGGTGGGTGCGTACTGATGAGGAGTCCCAAACTAGGACTAGTGAAACAGCTGACCAGTACTCCCAGCTTGTTTTCCAATGGTACTCTAACTAATGTCAGCTCATGATGAAATCCTGTATTGTCAATTTTCTTGGCATGTATCTTAGGCTGCCTCAATCATTCCTTTGGCCAGCTATTTGTATCTCCACTTAAGAATCTAGAATATTCGACTGAAGTGTCATGCGAGGCTTATACTTTGACTATTTCTTCCCTTTCCATATTTATTGTATATCTAAAGAAAACCTTTGCCTTATTAATCGTTAAACTTTGGGTTTTTGTTTTTCTCCCTACACGAAATAGAAACGTTAATTAACTGAAGTAGGTTTCAGTTATATAAGTTATTTTTTGGAAAATCCTGAGAAAATATGATGGAGAAGATTGCCACTAGCATCGTTTGTCACTCAAAAGTTTACTTTCAGTCCATTCTCCAACTCCCCGTCTCCAAGTGACTCTCATATTACGTAATCCTTTATTTTCGTCAGAAAAGTCAATTCTGTAAGACGTTTTTCTTAGAGAAAAGTGAATCAAAGACAGCAAATAAGCGAATATGTTATTTTTTTTAGCAAAAAAGTATTTTACTACTTATTTAGACCTTACTTAATAACTTACCTATTGATATCCACATGATTCTCTGATCGACTGACTTCGCACTGCTCGTAGAACCGTTGATATTTTGAGACAGCACGTATTTAAAGTCTACAGGCCAGAAAAAAACATAGTAGAATGTTTCATTTAGTTTTTGTACCAAATGTACTGTTTGGAATAAAACTGTCATTATTAATTATTTTTTTAAGTAGCCATTTTTTTTAATTATTGCGAAGCGTTAATAATCAATAATCTAAAATCAATATGGATATCTACTCCACTCAGCATAAAGATAAGATTCTGCTCTTCAGCACTGATGTAAAATCAGGTCTTCTGTTATAGTTCAGAGACTTGGTGCGTCACGAAAACTGCTTATAATAGCCTACTACAGACTGTTATCGAGAGCTTTCCTCGTTCCATACTGAAAATCGAATGGGAGTTCTGAAATGATTATCAAGAAGTAACTCTGGCAATTAACCAACAAATATGCTAAGAAAACTGGTAATAGATGGGACACACTCTAAAGTCTAGGTTGAATTCCCGACCTACACACACTGATAAACCTTACCTAACCGATAGCGGTATCGGGAAAGAGGGAAAACTGGGCACCAGGCCAACAACCTTGTCTCATAAACTTAACACCATAGCTACTGAAATTTCAGAAAACTTGAAGCCGTTTCTTGCAGTCTGGACACAAAGAATGAAAAAAGAAGAAAAAAATCTTTAGAGTAACCAGCTGACAAACTTTATTGTTCACCATGCTAAATTCTTAAGTTTAAATTCCTAAATTCTTAAGTTTAACAATGGAATGTATTGTATTTATGTATGATAACCTGAGATTTGTTCTTTCACAGTTTACCGTTATTATCACCACATAATTGTTAAGTAGAACGCATTTGTTGGGTAAAAGATTAAGTTATTTGACTAATATACAGACAGTTGTTTTTCACCTTTTCCATCTTAGCGTTTGATGTTTTTACTTTAAGAAGAGGAGGTATTTTTTTAAAACTTAATAGAACAGAGTCACTATATGAAAATTTACAGGTCGACCTTTTAAAATTACTGTGAGTTCCAAAACTTCTTATCTAAAATATTACCGTAGACTGAATCTTTATTCCATAATCGAGACTTATCAACGGAACAATGTGTATAGAACAGTTCCCACTACCTTAATTGAATGTTTCCTTTTTGAATGCCTTATTGTTTTGTAATTAGAAGGATAAAACTCAGTTGCTTAAACTTTTTACAGCCAGTCGGTAGTGGTCATTAAGAATATTTAATTTTTTTTCAAAATATTTTACGTATGAATGAGAGTTTACCAGTGTCAAGATCAGTTCTTGTTAAAAACTGACATTAGGTTTTTTTAGAATTGGAAATCACGAAGCAATCAACAGCTGTTTTGTCCTCTTTCACTGGTTTTTCATTAATTCACAAGCAAAAATTTTCAAAAGAATAGGCTCAGTGGCTTAAAAGCAATGTGCTCATCATATGCCTTACCAGTGTTCTTAGCGTACTACGCCGAACATCTCTAGAGTGTTTTCTAGTCTTCAATGTTTCTCTAGCTGATGTCATTTAGCGAAGAAATTTCCAGTGATGTTATTTTTTCCAGTACTTGTCAATGTGATAAAACCTCAATAGGCGTTACGAAGTGACATTTCCACTTTTTTTCTACGGTCGTTTGACTGCTAAAAGTGTTCTTTCCGGTAAGAAGTATTAAAAGATTCCTTGATCACTAATTGAGTTTTAAATTTTATCTCCAAGCCATCATTTGCAACCTCAAATGGTGATGATGTGTGACATTCAGTAACATCAATGTGAAAAGGGTTGTCAGTAACTTTCTATTTTGACATTTTCCGATAGATGGGGTAGATGGAATACATCATGTCCACTATTTGAAAGGAAAGTGGAAATCTCCACGTTCTTGGCAAAATTCTAGTTAGTTGACTTCATACATATCGGTAACAACTTTTGCATTTTTCATTTTAAACGCCTCATGGATACATTTCTGTTGCTGTGTTATTTTCATCATTGTCAGTTCAAGCTTATTGTTTATTACTTGTAGACAATTGTATCTAGTGTGGTCAGTGTAGTGAATGATACCACAAGTTGTGTTCCATCTAATTTCATATAGGCGGTGATGCAAAGCAGCATCACGTTGGATACGCAGAAAATGCTATTCAGCTAAGTCCAGACTAATTAAGGAGGCCTAAAAACCGCTCTCTAAATCCATGGAACTTTTCATCGACAGTGTAATTCCTGACTTCTGACTGTGAGACTACAAATATCATTATGGAGACAACTCCTCCTATGGTTCCAGAGAACTCAAATGCAAGGATTTCCAGTCATTCATAACACCTAAGAAAACTCAGTGAAGGAACATTAACCCAAAATGTTGACAGTGTTCCGAGTACAGAGTCTGCTGTGGACGCAGTGAGTATTATTCACCTCTCAGTGGTGACCATAGATGACTTCAAATGTACAGTTACAGATGGTATAATAAGTGGGGAATGAATCGCAACCTGATGGTTGAGCGACAGTGCACGACCTGAGATAATAAAGGAGTAAGGGCCCTGGACTGGATTCTATAATTCCATTTGCAAGACTACCAACTTATGGTGCAGGTGGTATGGGTAGGCATGCTTGGTAATAAGGGTGAAAAAAGTTTTGTGTTTATAATCATACTAATTAATTTTATCTGTTATTCTGTTAATGAATCATACTTTTCTAGGATCCATAATTTTACAAAAAACAGCCACATTACGACATATACAATATCAGTCTATTTGGATTACGCATTACATCCCACTGGTCTTTGAAGGAAAGCAAAGACGATAGAAGGATTCTCTAAACGCTAGACATCGAGATGTAAAGACTGTTAGGAAATATTTGACATACAGATAGTCAGGTCTCGAAAGTATACGTTTCCAAGACTTGCATGAATTAACCACATCTTAGGAAACTTAAGTCATACACCCTAATATATGCAGTATTGGAAATAGATTGCATAAGCTAAGTGTAATAGTAAATGAACTGAGACTGAGAGTAAGGATTAACGGTGTCTTGTCATCACATAACTAGTGAAAAGTGGTCTTACTCAAGGTACAATTCTAGTACCTCTTCTCTTCCTACCATATGTAAAAAAACTAACGTTGATAAATAATTCATCCTGTCCAGAGTTTGTCGTCAATATTATGCTCTGCAGGGCTTTAAACAATTACAGCATTCGACTTGTTTTGCAAGATTCATATTTTTGTTGTTTGAATGGTATAAGAAAGGGACTTTGTAAATTAATGTAATTAAGAGTTTACTTATGTATGTCATTCATAATAACAAGAACAATCACTTGACAAATTGTGTGACTCTACCAACGGTTGCTGAGTTTAAGGATTTAGGAGTGGTTATAAGATAAAAGCTGCGAAACATTTTAGGACATTTTGGTCACTCCAAATAGTTTTAATTAATTTTGATGATGACGCATTTTGTAGATTGAATTCTATCTATATCAGTGATACATGTACCCTTCAAGCACGTAGAGATCAGAAAATGTTCTAACCTTTAATTGAATTTGAGATTTTCCCGTCGATTGATTGGACCGAAGTCCTCGGTCTCAGGTTGACATGTCGGCTTCTTGTGCAGATGCTTCGACGATGTCTGGGCATTTAATTAGTATTTAACTGGTGGATGGTAACTAGCAGTGGACATGTCAACCTGAGACCGAGCACTTCGTTCCAATCAATCGACGGGAAAATCTAAAATTCAATTCAATAATTAATATGACCCGTTGCACAAAAGGTGGCTCTCGTGGCCCAAGTGGTCTAGTGAATAATGCTTTGGCGTTTGAAACTGCGTTCGAGCCTGGGTGGGAACATCATCACTCACTGAGAAGTGCAGGTACATCCAGATGATGAGCCACCAATGGGACGAAATGTGCATCCTGGATTCCACTGCTAGTCACCATCTACCAATTAAATACTAAGTTCTAACCTTTGGTACTAATAATAATAATAATAATTTTTCCTTCACGTTCCCAGTGGAACATAGGGCCTCAAGCTAATGACTTGAAGTTTCTGTAGCAGTGTTTATTTTTACAGGATGGGGTTGCTAGCCTCATGCCCAACCTTTCCTCTTTACCAGCTTTATTTCTGGTTTAGCGAGGCAAGGGAGTGCGTCGGCCGGGGTTCGAACCCCGGACCATGTGCATGGTCAGCGAGCGTCCTAACCGCTATGCCACCGACGCACACCTGTTTCGTCCTAGTTTAGGACTCTTCATTAGTACGCACCCACCGGGATTCGAACCCAGGACCTTCCGGTTACAAGGCGAGCTCGTATACCAATAAGCCGGCCTTTGGTACTAAACAGATTAATAGACTCTCACACCTCTCATACAACGAGTAGTTTGATCGGAAGATGAAAGTTGACGTCTTATTATCCCACTGTATCCTACATAATGATTTGGATGCTAATTTATTCCGATTATTTCGATCCATTGAGAGGACATTACCTAGAAGTTCAAAATCTACTGCCAAATTATCTACATCTGGAAGTTTATTTCTTGCATCAAACTATGCACCAGTGAGATTCTATATCCAAGCGTATCGTCACATCACCTTTTGTTGATTTATTCAAAGCATGACTGGACATCAACTATAATTTATATCCTAAAGCTTACTATCCATAATAATCTAAAATATGAGATTTAGGAGTGAAATATACTTTGATAAATGAATGAAATGAATGTCTTTTTCAAAGAATTTGGCTAATTACAATTTAAACAACAATGTATTGTCTTTTTTCTTTTGAATGACAATATCAAAAATTCAAAAAAAAAAATAAGCAATGATCTATTTTTCTCTTATTTTACCAAATATTGATTGCCCTCATGTAATCTACTGGCAAAATGTTCCGGAAATGTCTATAAATTAGTTAAAATATTAGTCAGTTCACGTTGAACATTTTAAGTGTAATATGATAAGAATTATAGAAAGTAAAACGAAACTGCTAATTTTTTGTAATACAAATCAATCATTGTTGTAGTCTGAAATCTGATTGAAATTTATTGAAAACTCTACATTAAATGGTGATTTTATGTGTTATTAGACAATACGTTTTTATGAGTAGACACTTTCAGACGTACGTTCTATTCTCATTCATCTCCAATAAGTGATACAGTGAAACTATTTAACAAATGTTCATATTTGTTAGCTAATTATCAGAGAGTGCATCGGTGGCACAGCATTTAGGATGCTCGCTGACCATGCACATGGTCTGGGATTCGATCCCCAGTCACCGACTCACTCCTTTACCTCTCTAAGCCAGCAATAAAAGCTGGTAAAGAGGAAAGGTTCGGCATGAGGATAGCAACCTCATCCTGTAAAAATAAACACTGCTACAGAAACTTCAAGCCTCTAGCTTGAAGGTGCCCTATGTTCCACTGGGAACGTGAAGGAATAAAAAGGAAATTATCAGAGAGATATGTCACCAACACAAAGTTCATCGACACGATATTATCTCACGCGGTTTTATAATAAATTACTCAAGGCATTCATTAATTACAATCTTTAAAGACTATACTAAATGATGGGTGATGAATTTGCTTTGGGTCACTTAAAATACGTCAAGTTTTCACAACCCACTCATGATCCATCTCTAGTGTTCGTGTTAAAAAAGAAACGATTTGGCTCATTCTAACATCATAATACCCCATGGTAGTTGATAATCTGTTATATCTAAGATCAGACACACTACAACTTTAGTTAACGAAAGCTTAAAAATTTCAAAGCTATTGTAACGGGAGGAGGCAAGGTATATTTTCAAGTGATCAAATCGCTATTTATATCTATAAGGTTTTATATGGTTTAACCAATCCCTGAACGTGTG